GGAAATTCCATCAAACGCCAAGGAAAAGAAAATGAATGCTAATCTTTCTCAAACTCTTTCAAAGAATCTATGAGGAGGGAACACTTTCAAATTCATCTTATCAGGCCACTCTACCCTGATATCAAAGCTAGACAAAGACACTACAAGAGAAGAAAACTACAGATCAATATCCCTGATGAATATCGATGCAAAACTCCTCAACAGAATACTAGCAAACAGAATCCAACGACACTACAGGGATTATACACTTTGACCAAGTGGAATTTAAATCGGGTATGCACATCTGGTGCAACGTATGAAAATCAATCAGTGGAATCCATCATATTATCAAAATGAAAGACAAAACCACACTATCATATCAACAGATGCAGAAAAAACATTTGACAGCATTCAACACTTTTCCATGACAAAAACAGTCAACAAATGAGGAATAAAAGAAAGTACCTCAACATAACAAAGGCCATATAGGAAAAACCCAAAGTTTACACACTCAATGGTGAAAACACTGAAAGCTTTTCCTCCAAGGTCAGGAACAAGGCAAGCATGCCACCTATCTCTTCTTCTACTTAATACAGTCAGTACTGGAAGTTCTAACCAGAGGAACTAGCCAAGTAAATAAAATGTATACAGTTTATAAATGAAGAAGTAAAACTATCCTTCTTTTCAGTTGACATGGTCTTATATATAGAAAATTCTAGAGATTCCACAAAGAGGAACTAGTAAATTACTAGTAACTTAGTAAAGATGCAGAATGCAAAATCATCATTCAAAAAGTTGTATTTCAATACAAAGCAGTTGCATGTGTATGCAGTAGCAATAAATTGTCTGAAAATAAATTACTAAAATAGTCCTTTGCATGGCAAAAATCAGGAAGTCTAATGATGCCAAGTACTGGAGAGAACGTGTATCCTGATTTTCTCTTATAAATTCCTGGCGATCAAAAAGGTAGTGTGACCACTCAAATAACAATTTATCATTATCTTGTAAAATTGAATATTTATATACTCTATGTTCTAGAAATTTCAGTTAAAAGTATTGGCAAGAAAAACTCTGGGTATACCAGGAGATATGCATGAGAATATTCATACCAACATTATTTATAATATAAAATCACTGAAAACAGTCTAAATGCCCATAGAGAAGTAAATTATGATATATTCATACAGTAACATAAATAGCATGAAAAATGGACTAACCACCTCTGTATATAGATATACAGAGTAAGTAAATAGATATACATACACAAGGGTTGGGAGATAGGGGCCATTATTCTGCCTTCCTATAAATATATTAGTTAACATGGCAAAGGGATATGACTTCAAAGAGATGATACTATATTATCCTTGTTGACTGAATGTAATCACAAGGTTTTTTTAAATGTGTAAAAGGGAGGCAGAAGTGTCATTGTAAAAGTGAGAAATGCCTGACTAATAGCTTTGAATACTGAAGAGAGCTGAGTTGAGAACTGCTGGCAGCCTCCAGAAGTTGCAAAAGACAAGGACATAGATCATCTCTGAGAAGGTCCCGAAAGGAACACAGCCCTGCCACTCCTTGGTTTTAGTCCAGTGAGGCCCATTTCAGACTTCTCAACTTTAGAACTCTAAGATTATAACAGAACTATAATAAATTTGTGTTTTAAGCCATGAAGGGTGCATACACAATTTGTGTGTTTGTGTCAGTGATGGTAAATGCTATAAAAATCAATTTGGTTAAAGAGTCATAACCAAATTGGATAGGAAATGCTGTTTTATATGGGGTGGTCAGGCATGAGGTAGTGTTTAAACAGAGATTTGAATGAGAGGAAGGGGCAAGATATCTGGAAGTTGAACATTTCAAGGGAGGAAACAGCAAGTGCAAACTTCACCCAGTCAGAAGCATGCTTAGCATTTTTGAGAAATAGCAAACAGGCTAATATGGCTGGAGGAAAGTGAACCAGAGGAAAACTATGGAATATAAAAACTATTGGTTAATAGGAGATAATTTTTCTGGTTATTTCTGGGGGGGGGGGTGGGGAACGAAGGCAGGAAGGGGGAACTTTGTACTTTGGCCCTATTTTTTTTGTTTTTAGACAATGATACATTATTTTTGTCTTGTTAAAGAATTTTCATTATAACATAGAGGTACCAGAAATCTGAAGTGCAGAAATGACAAGTATAAAGATGAAGGGTCTATTGGCAGGGTCTTTATAATTTAGTTTGATGGGTTCAAAAATTGAAGGAAAGGGGGTAAGAAAGAATCAAACAATACTAGCATTATTTAAAAAGTCTCTTTTATATATTTGCATCTACAGTTTCAGCCTGCTGAGTCTGTTTAGGCATGTCAGTAACAACATGTGTGTGTCCATGAGAAGTATTTGACTGACCACTAGTATAGAATGAGTAAGACTATTGAATAGTCCACTTACAAATTCCTGTTCACCAGAACATCTTGAAGGTACGAATATTTTGAATTTGGGGACCTTGAGGAAGTCATTTGCCCTCTCTGCATCTAAGTTTTTTCATCTGTAAAAGGGAGATAATGGCATCTGCCTGACAGAATTGGGGTAAGAAATTATGGTAAAAATCCAAGAGGTAAATACAAGTGAAACACTAGAAGAGTGTGTAGTATATACTAAGTGTTCCATACATTTTGGCTATTATTATTATTATCATTCCCCTAATTTTCATTATTGGCCTTCAATGAACAAACTTTACACACACTGCTAATTTGCAAACTTTTCTCCAAATATGCTTCAAGGGACCACTCTGTTCATTTGCCTCAGCCAGTTTGTTGTCACCTTACTATGCATGTGCAAATAAAATCACTATAACCCTTAGTGTTTAAAAACAAAGAATCCAGCATGCCATGTTTTCCACAAACAATAGAATGTAACACAACTGCATTTTACTGATACCTTTTCTTTGTGACTGCCATTTTACTTAAATATTATTAAAATATTTCATCAGAAGAGACTTTGCCAGCAATCTCTAAAAACAAACAGAATTTATGTTCCCTGGACAAAGTTAAAAGGGACTTTGTATAACATTACTGCAATTGAGAGTGATCTCTGTGGTCTTTTTATTCGGCTAGATAACAAATTTGAGGCAAACTCCTACAATATGAGTAAAAGTCAGGCATGACTTTTTTATTTCTTCAAGACTTCCTTAAGTGGGTTTAAAGGCATTTTGACTTGGGTTCAAGGGTTCTCTTTTAATTTTAAAATCCAATTATTTATTTATATTTGGATACTTGCTTTTTAAATTTTTTTTTATCATTATTCAAGTACAGTTTTCTTCATTTACTCTTACCTCACCCATCCCTATGTCCTACCTTTGATCCTACCTTGTTTTGGCTTTGTCCACATGTCCTTTATACACATTCCTTGATGACCCTTCCTCTTTTTCTCCCTGTTATCTCCTCCCTCCTCTCCTCTGGTTACTGTCAGTTTGTTCTTTATTTCAATGACTCTGGTTATATTTTGCTTACATTTTTTTTGTTGATTAGGTTCCACTTATAGGTGAAATCATATGATATTTCTCTTTCACTGCCTTGCCTATTTCACTTAGCATAATGCTCCCCAGATCCACCCATGCTGTAATGAAGGGTAGGAGCTCCTTTCTTTCTGCTGTGTAGTATTCCATTGTGTAAATGCACCATAGTTTTTTGATCCACTCATTTACTGATGGGCACTTAGGTTGCTTCCAACACTTGGCTATTGTAAATTGTGCTGCTATGAACACTGGGGTGCATAGGTTTTTTTGAATTGGTATTTCACAGATATGTCCCCAGAGCAAGGGACATAAAGGAAAGAATAAGCAAATGGGACTTCATCAAAATAAAAACCTTCAGCACAGCTAAAGAAAACATCAGCAAAGTGAAAAGGGAAACAACCGTATGGGAAAATGTATTTGCAAATGATACTTTGGACAAGGGTTTGATCTCCAAAATACATAAGGAACTCATACGACTCCACTCCAGGAAGACAAATAGCCCAATTAAAAAATGGGCAAAGGACATACAGAGGTCCCAGAGACATATGAAAGGATGCTCAGCATCACTAGCCATCAGAGAGATGCAAATTAAAACCACAATGAGATACCACTTCACACTGGTCAGAGTGGCCATCATAATAACCAAATCAGCAAACAACAAGTGCTGGTGAGGTTGTGAAGAAAAGGGAACCCTAGTACAGTGTTGGTGGGAATGCAGACTGGTGCAACCACTGTAGAAAACAGAATGGAACTGTCTTTTGACCCAGCAATTCCACTGCTGGGTTCAAGGCCTTTTGATTTACAAGCAAGATGACTTGAGGCAAATTTTCAATTTCCCTGAGTCTTGGTGTCTTTACAACTGTATTCAAGGTGTACTCTTTTGTATCTCTGAAAATCCCCGATAGAGTCTATATAATTGAGTGTCTCACAGTTTTGTGACAAAAGCAGGAGGAAGGATTATTACTTTTACTAACTTGCATATGGGAAAATTAAACGGTTTCCCTAAGTCAGCAACTAGGTCTTTGGGCCAGGTTTTTTGAGTGTTATTGCAGATCTCTTTTCCATTAGACAATATTTAAGTTATTAAAATAAAAAATGCTTTCCTCTACAAAATGTAAATAGGTCAAGCCTACAAAGTGATTCATAAGACCAATTAATCTTCTCTGTTTATAGGTCAATTCTAAGACTACTTTTACATATTATCCATTATACAACAACTTCTTTTATTTTAATCACGTTTATAAATATCTGGTACATCAAGAATCAAAAAGAATGTATGAAATTATTTCTAAATATTTAACATTAATAAACTCTTAGCCATGAGGAATATCTCCAAAACTATATCTTTTTAAGGTTTAACATTGATTTAAATCAAGATATGGATTGCTCTGTTACTATTCCAATGTGTGCTTCATTTGAAAATTCTAATTTGAATTTAATGACCTTTTTATAAAACTGGTTGCCTTCTTTTTAAGGAAAAAAATTCTTCCCTTCACTTATTTTAGTTTCAAAACATGAAGGTCATTTCACCTTGAATCTACTGCAGCATCTGCTCTTCCTTTTCTTTGACGGTTGTGCCTCCACTGTCTTATTCAAAGGTTGATTTGGCTCCATCATTGAACTACAGATATTGTGTGACTGTTTTCAATTGTTGGTGATGTTTTGTTCAAAATGACGACCTATTCAAGGAGAAAAAGTGTAACTTATTTCATTTTAGCAATATACAATTCAGAAATCAGAAAAGCCACAAAATAAACATCAGTCAATCAATCCATAAACCCATTAATACTCATCCAGGGCCTACTATGCTCTGATCACTGGGCCAGGGAAATCCTGGACACGCACATGCTAAATACACAGAGCACTAGTTTTAAGGAGATTATAATTCAGTTTAAAAGATAAATGTATGGAAATAAAATTGAAACAACAAATAAATATAAAATAACACACTAGGGTAGAGGAACAAAATTTTTAAAATAGCGAAAAGACATATTAAAATATTTTCTTATATATCTACATTATAAGATTTAGGAGGGCAAATACATGTTTAATTTATCTTTATAACTTTACAAAGTGTCAAGCAGCGCCTTGCACAGAGGAGATAGTCAAAACAGGTAGAAAAATAATGTAATGAGTTGTAACTGGAGTGGCCTGAGAAGGTTTCATGGAGGCCATACCTCTGGAACTTGAAGAATTGGTAGAGTTTGGATTTGTTAAAAACAATACACAACAAAATAGTGCACTCTAAGTACCTCTCAGACAGCCTCTGTCCATACTTGAGATTGTCACCATCATGATCCTGCTTTATTGTAACTTTGTTAATTTATTTTTGGAAGGCAGCTATGCTAACCACTATACAACCAACACCACGCCTGCTAATTTATTTTTGAAGAGAAAATAAATGCATGTACTTGAAAGCACAACAGATCAAAAAGCCATGTGTATATTAAAAATTCTTCCTAGCATTTTTAAGCCACATTCCCCTAGCATCTAGTTTCTGAGGACTAAGGTTATCAGCTTTTAGTGAATCTTACCTGGAAATGTATTTTTAAAATTAAATACATAATATTTTCCTTGTTTTAAACACAATGGCAGCATGCCATTAACATCGTTCTCTACCTTTTTAGCCTTCTTCATATACTTAATCTTATATTAATAAGTGGCCTTCTCAGTTTTCATATGGTTAAAGGGTCTCACATTGTCCACAACTAGCTAGTTGCCTGTTCATAAATATTTAGGTTGTACCTAATTATTTCTTACTAGAAAACCTTATTAATAGATCATTTTATTTATGTGATCATAGCTGTAGGATTGATTCTTACAGGATTTTTGAAGTCAAAAATTAAGGGGAATTATAATTTTGAGAGTTATTAATTCACTAATTTAAAAACTAGTAAAATGAGTCCACTTGTGTCTTAGATTTGCTCTTTTACATAGATTATGGGTTCTTCACAGAGGTTTAGGAAAAGTATTTCTGCTTATATATCGGTGTGCATAACACACATTTATGTATCTAAAATAACATCTATGTAGAAACACACGTTAAGTATAGACATATGATTATTAATGGGGCAGTAATTAAACAATATATTCAAGGATATTCTATGTAAAGTTGATTCTCATTTTTGCAGTGGTTACATTCTAACTGGTGCTGCAAACACTGAATTAGCAAACAGTGAACATTGATCCTGGGGGAAAGGCAGGGCTACATTCCTGTGTCACAACATTTTCTTTAGCTAATCAATATATAACCTTGTTTCATGTGTACTTCTGTTTAAAGACATTTTATTTAATTTATTTTGTCGATCTATTAATGTTGACTTTGTGGCCCACAGCACCGTGCAGCACACACCTGAGAAAGGGTATGCAACATACTTTTTTTGTCAGGCACATCTCACCTTGGAACACCAGGCAGCACCTCAGCACTAGGCTACTGAGCTGCTTTAACAGCAGAATCACCAACTGAGAGCACAAATATATGACACTAAATAGACTACAAAGAGGATGCTTGTTTGCAGTAGGAGAGCTGAAACTAGAAAGCAGAGCCACACCTTGTTTGACCTCAGCTGGGAACATGTGTGTTAGACAATTCAAAGTTTTACCACTTTGCAGCATTGATTTTGGGGTTACAAATAAATTTTAGTGAGGTGGCAAATTTGCTGTCCCAGAATCCACAAATAACAAGGACTGACTCTATATTTTATTTATTTTCTTCAAGAAAGATTTATTGATTTCTTACATTATAAATACATAAAGACCACAAATATATATAATGTATATGTATTGAATAATGTGTAAATATAGAAATAACTATCTAAATATATTATCAAAAGTGGTAACACAGTATATAACACCATATAACACAAGCATGACTGCAGAAACTCACGCCTCTGTGCATCTAAGTGAATCTCAGTTCTTATTTCGCTTTTTGCATGTGCTCCAGATATGTTTGTGCCTATGCAGTTACTGAGTGGAGCAAAGGGAAGAGAAAATCAATAGTTTGGTGGTCCCAAAGTCCTCAGCAGCCTTTTGATAAATTTCATGTCATTTCACTCATGAATATCTCGGTATCTTCTCTCAGGATCTAAATGTTAGAAAACAATGCCTTATCACTTAATCTTATCATTGCAAATGTTCTAGGAATGATTTTTAAACTTTAGGTTTCTATGTTTGTTTTTTTTGGCAAGTGAACAAATATTATTTTTTTACATTATTTTTATTGTATTTTTTCCATTACCGTTTATCCCCCCATATTCTCTTACACCTCCACCCATCCCCCACTCTGCCTTGGCAATCACCACACTGTTGTCCATGCCCATGAGTTCTTAAGAACAAATATTCTTGAATACTATTATCTCACCACTCATAGCCTTGCTTCTTGAAATTAATTAAATCATGATTATCTTCTCTCCCTGTCTTTTCAATATCCTATGCACATCATAGATATTCTCAAATTTTTCAGAGGATCCTTGAACCATACAAAATAATATTCATGCTCCCTATTTGAGATTCTTCACAAACTTAATGCAGCCCTTGTTTTTAGTCTCATTTCCCAAGTACACCACCCACAAGCACCTTCAGCCCTATGGACCACTGTCCCTAAAAAGAAGACACTCTCAGCTCTCCCTATGCTTTATGAACCTCTAAGGTTCTTCCTCATCGCTCGGTTGTAATCCTGCCCCAAGTCACCCCGCTCAGATATTTTCCCATTTGAAATAACCTCTCCCATGCTGCATATCGCTCCCTTGGAGAACAGACCTTGTAATACAGTTATTACTTTTCCTGTATTTCCACAGCTTTCACAAACTTCTATTCCATACTTTTCCCCTAGACACTTGGAGAAAAAAAAAATCCAGGAAAAAAGTTGGAAGTGCAGACACCTTTACTCTCATTTCTTAGAAATTAAACTGTAATAAGTAACTACAAAGCAGTTAGAAAGTTGGGCTATCAATATAGGATTGACTAAATAGCTCACTCTCCACTTAAACATGGATGGCACTTTAAGCCTGACTTGGAGACATTTTACCCTAGTTTTCTATGGACGTATTTTCTCTCAGAGTTTCAAACAAATGACATACAAATGAGTTTTGGGGACATGCTATATTTATAAGACAGTATCAGAGGCATTCAGACCGAGCACTGCAATTCTTCCCTGAGCAGAACAGTGCAGATCTGCCTAGTTGGATTGGGGTGGAGTGTTGGGCAGAATCTCACCAGCCTCTGCTTATTGGTGTAAAGCTTTTACTGTTGGAGGGATAATAGAAAAATCTGTGCAAGCAAGTGGCCCAATTTCTACCACGTACCTGGGAACAGAGGGGGGAAAAAGAGACACAGCATTTATTAACTTCTTAGCCCTTTTATGGGGGACTTCCTCATGCTCCACCTTACTTTGACGATAACAATTGTCTTATTAGAGTAGCCACCTTCCTGAATGGGAGAGGGAAACTAACATTTATTGAGTCTTTCATTTGTATCAGGAACTGTGCTGATCAGATTTTTTTCTTTTGTTCAGAGATAAAATTATCTAGAAAACTTTTCCCTCATCTTGAGTCAAACTCGAGTTGAAAAAATGAAACAAGAGGTGGGTAAGCAACATTGAGACACTTTCCATTAATGTTTGTCAACTAACTTACTACCTCACATTATATAATAGTGATGGAATCAAAGAAATAGAGGGTAGGCCTCATAATTTCATGTAGTTAGTGAAAATAATTGCCTTGTAACATATTTTGAGAAGGTAACCAGGGGTCCATTTTTCAGACTTGAAGTTCCAGTTATATAGAAAGTAATGGGAACAGGTTTTCAAACTTTATATTTAAATAATAAATGTCTGATTTTGTTTTTAAGATATACAATCCAGAGGCTCATCTATGTCCAGAAAGGATATTTAATAGATTGTAAGAGCTTAGAGCATAAATGTAAAGAAGACACAGGAATAAAGTATGTAATATTTATCATGTCCATCAAAACATTTTGTCTTTGAAATTTGTGGAATTTTCCACATAGAAAGATCATTGAAATTAGAGAATCTCAAAGGTTCTTACCTGAACTCAGAATCCCACAGCAGCAATGAGAAGACCAGCCCATTAACTGTTTTTAAAGTCTGTTTTTAAATAGTTAGTGGCTTTTCTTTCTTTATCAGTACAATGATGATTAACCATCAGGTCATTGTCCGAGGCAGATAGAAGAAAATTAACTAGCTATTCTAAGAAGCTGTTCTAAACTCCTGAATTTTAAAGATTATACTTGTCAGAATTTATAAAATATTTTTCTGTAAAAGTTCAAGTATTAAGTTTCTAAGAATAACATATTTGTTTAATAAATTACATTGATTGCATAAGATTTTCTTCTTTAAATATACAAATACAACAGATTATCCAAGGTAGTTAAAATCCTTCCAAATAGAAAACAGTTCAAGGCCTTTTTCTAAAAAAAAAAATCTGCAGATTATTTTAGTATTCAAAAGATAAAATATCTTTTGGCCTGATCCTGGGGGCAGTTCTAACATGATGTGGGAGGACGCTGGGTGTCCCATAGGAAATAGTAAAGCACCAATTCATGAAAGTCTTCCAAGTGACAAATTTTAAAAAATGACAAAATTTATAAGATTAATCTCTATGATCGATTCCTTACACTGAAGCCTGAAGAAAGAAAGGTTATATAGTTTTCTTCTATTAACTTAGGTTTTAGGGAAGAGTGGCACATGAACCTACTGATAGTTTTCTTGAGGAGCAGTTAAGTTTCATTCACTCAACCACTAAGTCAAACATTTTTGGTTCTGTGCTCTACCTCTGTATCTCAGACATTGGGCTCTATTCTGGAGGTCTCCCAATTTAAATCTCACATGAACAAATGTGTATATTTGTTATAATATATATGTAGCTATCTATCATACATAGCTATACAGAGAGAACACCTAAATAATAACTATCATATATATGACTATTATGCAGAAACAGCATTACCCATATACACATTCATATGCACATACAGCAATTTGAGGATATATATATATGAAAACATTGTTACCCCTTATCACTTCTGAAAGACAATTAAGAAATTATTTTTATTGATTAGAGAGAGAGAGAAGGCAATGCTGATTTGTTCTTTCATTCATTTATACATTCATTGGTTGATTCTTGTATGTGCCCTGACTGGGGGATTGAACCCATAACCTTGGTGGATCAGGATGATGCTTTAACCAACTGAGATACCTGGCCAGGGCCAAGGAAAAATTTTGATACAACTGTACAACAATATGTATTTAAGTTCTATATATCAGATATATGATAGATTAGTTCTACTCTGGTTTATTCTTGAAAGTTTGTAATCATGTGAAGAACCAAAGAATGTGGAGAGGAAGAAGGGTGGGGAAATTCTTAATTTCCCAGTAAAGGGGAACTGAGAAATATAAACCTGGGGCTAGGAAGATTAGGGCCCCAGGTCCCAAGCAGTTCTCTGCAGAATCAGAATCTGTGGCAACCCAAGCTCACACCCAGGAGATTCTGATTCAGCCAAGATTATACTTTTTATGCTTCTATTTTTTAAAAATAAGCCCTTTAGTTAATTTTTAGGTAATGCCAAATTTTCAGAACTTAGCAGAAATAGAGAACGTTTTCAGTTGTTTTTGTGGGTTTTCCTTTCATTCGGAGTGGGAATACAGTTTAGGTGTTCCCATAATAGTGATTTTTTTTTCAAATTTTTATTCCACCCAGGTACTTCACATAAAGGTAAATAGTACGGAAAACCTTTCTAATCCCTCAACTAAGGCTACCTCATGAAATTCTGGGTGTTTCCACAGGTCAAAGAGCATTTCATGACCTTTCCTCTACCACGACTGTTCTAGTTAGATTGTCCTTGTGAGACTTGTTAAAGAACGCAGGTAGTTAGAGGAAAGGAGTTGCAACAGTTCTTGCAAGGTCAATATTATGCTAACACTCATGGGTCAGCAGAATTGCAAAATTTGCTTTAAAAATCTGGTGATATTTACTTGAGAGATAATTACCACAGTTCTGATGACATGTCATGGGCTTTGGATCCTGATAAATTGTGATGCCAACTTGTCTCTGGTACCTGCTAACAGTATAGACTTATATAGGTTATTTAAACTTCCTGAGCATCAATATCCTCATCTACAAAGTAGGAAGAAAGCACTTGGGGTAGGATTAAATAATGTATGTACAGAGATTTACACCATACCTGAAACATTGTAGATTCAATCCCTAATGCCTAATAAGAGTCACTGTATGAAATCTGTGTATTATGAATACTTAAAGCAATTAATTTATATCAAATGGACAAAAATAAAAGATCTAGGACAGGAGCCCAGCAATTTCTTTAACAGTTTTTCTTCCCAGGTTCTCAGGTGGGTGCCACAGGCATGCTCCCAGAGGGTGTCTTCAGGCTCAGAGCAGGCCTGTCACTGCCTGCCACCTTACCTCTCTGGGCAGTGATCAAGAGGAAGCTGCAGGAAGCTGTACCTTTCTGGAAAGATCCCCACATATCTCTGCCCACTGACATAGGCCCTGGCATCATCATGATTAATCTTATCATGGCCATCTCCTTCTCACGCTGGTCACCACCCTCAGAAGATCCCTTTCATCAATTCATGTCTAATCCCCTCCCGGCTCTGTACATCCTTGTCTCTGCCCCTCACCTCCAGTCCTTCTCCCAATCCTGCGCGGAGATCTTTCTCTTGAGCTGTTTAAAACTCATGACTCGTCACAAGTAGAACTACCTTTATGGTCAGCCTCTTCTCTGAATTTATTTTGCTTTACCTGATTTCTCTAACTTAAACCCGGCCCTTCTCCATGCTGCGTCACTGCTCCACACCAGATAGGCTGGTATCCAATTTGCCTACCCATTTTCACTCTCTTTCCTCAGAATCCAGTTTTGAATTTCATATTGAAAGATTGATCACTTATCCCGCTTCTGTTGGAATTTTCTACCAATCCTTAAGTCACTTATTCCATGACTGTTTTAGCTCTTGGTTCAAAGCCAATCTCTTAAACATAGTACTGCTGTAATAATTATTGATTTCAATGATCATGAAGAGCACCCTTATAATTCTGGGTTTTTTTAGTCTTTTAACCTTTACTTCCCCAATAATCTTGCTTCTGCTCACTCCAATGGAGATATCCTAGATCTGTCATACCCAAAACTATCATGTCTACAATAATATCATTTTCGTGGATTGGATTGCTGTTGCGCTGTGCGGTGGCTAGACGGGGCACGATTCTGCGGGGGAGCGCCGCTGGGGTCGCCACTGGGCCAGGTCAGGGCAGCGACCCCTGGGTTGAGGGGCCGGAGCGCGCTGCGGAGAGAGTGGCGCTCCCTGAATCTGAGGGAAACTGTATGGGGCCAGCTGAGATGAGAGCAGGGCTCTGAATTCCACAGAGCCCGTCCCAGGGTTGTCACAGATGAGGAGAATACACACCAGTCATTGCAAACACTTCTCCATTTGCTGGGAGAGCGGACGTGGGCACTTCCCTCTTAGTGGAGAAGGCCCAAGGCACATCCCTCTGAGTCTTTTTGTTCCAAGGCTTTTATTGAAAAGGTTATCAGTCGTGCTAGGTTAACAGGAATGCACAGGTTATCTCATTACATCCGTATGTTAATGTTCACAGAGAATAAGTGATGTTTTGAAGAAAACAAATGGCAGGAACACACCAATTTACATAGGTCTGAGAGGAGACTAGTATAAACAAGAGAGATGGCTAAAGATGAGAGCATAATAAACAGAAGAGTGCCTAAGGGTATAGGGTTAAGATCTGTGAGTAATGTAAATGCCCTCCCCAGCCTGAGCTGGCTAAAGCTTTTGAGGGAAGAACAAAGCACACTTTAAAGAATTTACTTTTAGGCCTGATTTCCCCAGGAACCGCCATATCTGGTTTAGGGCTGATTCCTGTATTGTTTCAAGCCTGAGCCAAGCAGGGGGAGGGAGCCGCCAAGAGACAAGGAGACTGCTTTCAGCTAGAATGAGGATTCCAGCCATGTCCAACCTGAGCCGAGAGGTGCAAGTCTTTTTGCCCTTTCTCTTTGTCTCCCAATTTCTTGTCTGCTGCCAATAATCAGTTGGCATCTGTCTTAGGTCGTATACCTCAGCTCGAGGTAACTTACCCATCCTTGATACCCAATCCTCCATGGCAAAGCAGAGAGGCTGGAGCTACGCCTCTGCCGGGGGTGGGGGGGTGGGAAGGTTATGTCTCCTCAAGGGCCTGATTCTCCAAGACCTCCTGATTAATCCAGCCTTGGGGCGCTCCAGCCTGTCGGCGGGGTTACCTTTCCTGAAACTAGATAGGGCGTTTCCCAACAGATTGCCACTATCTTCCTACTCACAACAATGCTGCCACTGACCAGGATCTATAATCCACTGATTGATTCTACCAGAGCTTTCACTGTTCCTTATTTATGTCCTCATTTCCCTCCACATCTGGGCTTATATAATGATCATAGTAACCACTTTCTTCCATATATTTTTCAAGTTATTTGTGACCTTTGCATCATTATAATTGCTTGGCAAAACTACAGCCTTGATTAAATCCAACTTTCAGACTATTCTGTCCATTTATCCATGCTGATGAATGTGATTGAAGAAAACCCCCCAACCATGCTGACTTTAAATTTATGACCATGAAGCTCAAATGGGCCCTTTGTTTTGCCTACTTAGGTATCATGTTGCATTTTCCTTATCAAAGTCATCTTGCTTTCTGATTAACTACTTTTTTTTGTCTTTATCTCCTTCCTCAGAATTCCAAGTCATCCTTTCCTATCTCTACCTTCAGCTGATGACTATTTCACTAGTGAAAACAAAGAACAATTACTTCCAAAAGCTTCTTACACAACTTCTACCTAGTAAATGAATACCACACACTGTGCCTTGATGACCTGTCCATTCTCTAGCCAAAGCCAACCACCACTTGTACACCAGACTGCCTCTTCTCCTGTGTTCCCAAGATATCCATTTTCCCTTTCTAAAGAAATGTTCAAATCAGCATAGAAATGTGCTTTCACTTACCCATTTCAAAAATCCCTCTTTTGATCCCATTCTCTTTCCACGTATTGCCCTGTTTCTGTGTTATTTTTTACAGAAAAAAACCAAACCCCAAACTGCCA